TCAGTGACGGTAAATATGTTATAGGAGAGAGTCTGATGTAGATTTCACAGACTTAGGTTTTCCTGTTTCTCTACTTAAATGACACTGCAACAACATAAAACATTTCTGAGCTTCCGATTCTGCCCTCAGTTATAAAATAAAAATCGGAAGAATCACTTGCCTTGACCTTTTTTCCCCCTCAAGGAGCTTTGGGAAGGGTCTGTGTAAAGTGATTTTATCAGTTTGAAAAAAAATTTTTTATGCAAACATGGAAAATATGTGAGTCACTAAAAAGATAACTTTTTTTTTTTTTTTTGACAGGCAGAGTGGACAGTGAGAGAGAGAGAGACAGAGAAAGGTCTTCCTTTTCCGTTGGTTCACCCCCCAATGGCCGCTGCGGCCAGCGCACCACGCTGATCCGAAGCCAGGAGCCAGGTGCTTCTCCTGGTCTCCCATGTGGGTGCAGGGCCCAAGGACTTGGGCCATCCTCCACTGCACTCCTGGGCCACAGCAGAGAGCTGGCCTGGAAGAGGAGCCACCGGGACAGAATCCGGCGCCCCAACCGGGACTAGAACCTGGGGTACTGGTGCTGCAGGCGGAGGATTAGCCTAGTGAGCCACCGCGCCGGCCAAAACGATCACTTTTAAGAAGACACATTCAGGAGCCAGTGCTGTGGTGTAGAAAGCTAAGCCTCTGCCCTGGAATGCCTACATCCCATATGGGTGCCAGTTCGTTTCCTGGCTGCTCCTCTTCTGATCCAGCTCTCTGCTATGGCCTGGGAAAGTAATGGAAGATGGCCCAAGCTTGAGCCCCTGCACCCGCGTGGGAGAATCAGAAGTTGCTGGCTTCTGGCTTTGGATCGCCTCTGTTCCGGCCATTGCAGCCATTTGGGGAGTGAACTAGTGGATGGCAGACCTTTCTCTCTCTCTTTCCCTCTCTCTGTGACTCTACAACTCAAATAAATAAATACATCGTGTTTTTTTTTTTTTAAGAAGACACATTCAATTTTAAGTTTTAGTTCAATGTCCTCTATTCCCCTTCCCATCCCCTTATCTTCTGTACACTGTTCTTGACCTTGCTTCCATACTGAGTAGTAGTTGGGACAGAGACAGGCAAAGTAGCTTTGCAGTTTCACCTTGGAAGAAGTTTTATTTTCCGTGGTAAATGTTCTTAAGGGAAGATAGTTAATATAATTAGTTTCTTTGTAATCCTATTTATTTTTATTATATACATGTAGAAAAGCATTACTGGGAAGTAATCCTCAGACTTCCTAAGACTGCCAAATGGTGTGTGGTAAAAAAGAAGGAGGAGAAGAAAAATTCTGAATGGAGAACTCAAGGGAGCATGAAGGAGAATTTTCTTCCTCGTGTGTGCTTAAAAGGGTAGATTTCTAGCAAATGTGTTGAGAACCACATTTTCATCACCCTCTTTCTCCAAAAGGCAAAAATAAAATGTGTGTCTTATACCTCTGAATAAATATCTAAATTAACTTAAATGTATTAGACGTCCTGGATTTTGATTGACTTTCTTTCATAAAATGTGTTCTCAGTTTCTCCACTCTGCTCCCTTTTTGTGTTCTTTGCTGTATAATCTTTAGGTCAATATTTGTAGGATGGCAATTAGCGTTCCTTCAGTCCTTGGGACAAATGTGTTTGATTTCACGACCACCTATAATGAGAGAAAAGCTTTATGTTCTCACGTTGGCCAGTTGGATGTCTCTGAGTTTTGTTCTGAAAACAGATGATGATGTTGTCATCTCACTTGCCAGGCAGGGTGGCAGCACTACAGCCGTGACAGCCTTCCGAGAGCTCCCAAGTCCACTGAGAGGAGGACACCAGGGGTACCAGGAGTCCCAACACAAGGCAGTTAGTGCTGTGAAAAGGAGGCGAAAGAGCCATGGAAGAGTGCCTGCCACAGGTGGCTACAGTGTCCCCACACAGAGGCATTTGAGTGCAGCACCCCATGTACACTTCCCTATTTCAGTAATTCCCTTTTTATTGATTTGTACAGAATTGTGACAGTAAAGATAGGTAGGTTTAAACATTTTCTATTTATAAATTTTTAAATTTTTATTCAAAGGGCAGAGAGAGGGAGAGAGATCTTCCATTTATTTGTTCACTCTTCAAATGCCTGTGACAGCCAGGGCTGGGCCAGGAGCCAGGTGATTCAATCTGAGTCTCCTATGTGGGTGTCAGGGACCCACAAACTTGAACCATCACTGCTGCCTCCCAGGTGTGCATTAGCAGAATGCTGGAATCGGAAGTGGAACTAGGACTTGAATCCAGGCCTGATGATATGGGTGCAGGCCTCATAAACAGCATCTTAACTGCTGCAACAGTGCCTGCCCCCAGATAGGTAAACTTAAGATTTGTTCCTTCATCCTTTTATTCAACTATAATATGTATGATGGGGGAGGAATCTTGAAAAAGTTCACAGTGAATGTATAGTATGAAAAAACTATGGCTTTCAAAACTTTTGTATCAAAATAGACTTACCTTGTAAATCCATTTCCCGTGTACTTTTTGAAGCCCTCTCGTAGAGTGTGTTTGAATTTTCAACCACAAATTCACATGCGCAAAAGGGAGTCCATGATATTATTGAATTAGTGGTTCTTAGTCTTTGGTACACAGTTTAGTTAGTTGTGTGTGGGAGTTGTTTTTTTTTTTTTTTTTTTAATACTAGGGATGGGGTCACGTCCTTTTTTTTTTTTTAAGATTGATTTCTTTATTTGAAAGAGTTACAGAACTAGAGGGAGAGACTGGGAGAAGAGATCTTCCATCTGCTGGTTCACTCCCCAGATGGCCAAATCAGCCAGGGTAGGACTGGCCAAAGCCAAGAGGCAGGTCTCCCACGTGAGTGTAGGAGTCCAAGCCCTCAGGCCATCTGCTGCTGCTTTTCCCAGACCATTAGCAGGGAGCTAGGTTGGAAGTGGAGCAGCCAGGACACAAACTGGCATCCAAGTGGGATGCTATCATTGCAGGTGCGGCTTTCCCGCCAGCCACAATGCCAGCCTTGGGGCCGCTTCTTCCTGATGGGCAAAGGCCTCCTGAGAAGAATCACAAGCAAAGAAAGGATGACTTTGAGGAGAGTAAGAGCTGTCAGAATATCTCCTGCCCCAAAGACCTGCCACGTGTCCATGCCACGTGCTAGCCAAGCTTTCCCTACAACCATCAGGACAGGTGCCTTGGGCCAGGACTCAGCATGTGACGAAGCAAGAGGAGCTGCTTCCTTCTGCTGCCTCACCCTCGGGAGTCACTTCCTACCTGCACAGCTGATGCTTGGAATTCCAAATTAGACAGCCACACCTTTTCTTTTCTCTGTTTGTTTCGTTTCTTTTCTAAACTAACTGAGGTTTTTGTTTTGATTGCTTGTTTTTTAAAGATTTATTTGTTTATTTGAAAGGCAGAGTTACAGAGAGGCAGAGAGAGAGAGAGAGAGAGAGAGAGAGAGAGAGAGGCCTTCCATCCACTGGTTCACTCCCCAGATGGACACAATGGCTGGATGGCCGGAGCTGCACCTATCTGAAGCCAGGAGCCAGGAGCTTCTTCCCGGTCTCTCACACAGGTGCAGGGGCTCAAGGACTTGAGCCATCATCTACTGCTTTCTCAGACCATAGCAGAAAGCTGTATTGGAAGTGGAACAGCCAGGACTTGAACTGGTGCCCAAGTGGGTTGCCAGTACCGCAGGTGCTGGCTTTAGCTACTATGCTACAGCGTCAGTCACAGCCACAGCCACACCTTTTCTAGAAAAGGTGAAAAATGTAAATGCCTCCGAGGAGCCCCCCAAAAATATATTGGTGATTTGTATCATTTGGGGTTATGGCCTGATACGATACAAGCAGAGTTCCAAGGGAAGCTTATGACACTTCAGGATCCTATTAGTGAGAGCTGAATGGAATACAGGAGAGAAGCCTTGTGGCTGGCCCCCTTCAAGAGGCCCCTCTCAGCACTGGCCTGTAGGGCCTCCCAAGGTGGTACCAGCCCCTTATTTGAACATCATGTGATGCTCATTGTAATTCTGTAGTTACCTGGGCAATCATCTTTCATCTAGTTTCCACCTCTCTGCTATTTAGAAGCTTCCTCTCGACCAAGAGTCATGGCCAAGAGAACCAAATTCCTAAGACAGAAATGGGGAAAGCTGAGATCGCTGAAAATCCTTACAGTGTGAGGGGCATGGATCAGCAGGGCCTGTCTCTGTGTGCAGTTCCTGCACCATGTGTATGGTTCTGATCCTGCACCATGTGTGTAGTTCTGATCCTGCACCATGTGTGTGTAGTTCTGATCCTGTACCATGTGTGTGTAGTTCTGATCCTGCACCATGTGTGTAGTTCTGATCCTACACCATGTGTGTAGTTCTGATCCTGCACCATGTGTGTGTAGTTCTGATCCTGCACCATGTGTGTGTAGTTCTGGCTCCGACTCGCTCACAAGCACCTGTCCCCAGGGAGCTCCGTACCGGGCCATTGTGTAGAGCACTTAGCACATCGGGAATGTTCTGGAAACCCGAGAATAGGAGGTTGTCTTCGGAGATGTCTCCTCAGAGGAAGGTGCTGTGCAAGTCCTAGTATTGTTATTCTTATAGCACAAATTTATAATTGACTTTCTGTTAAACATTGCAGTGAGTTAAATTAATTCAGTATGATTACAGTCATTAAACAAATGCCTGGTAATGACGGCTTTCTTATTTTAGCAATTCCTCAAACCACTGGGGTAATACCACGGAAGGCTTTCTTTCTGCTGCATTGTCGGATTAATTGGGATATATAACCTGCCCTCCACGACAGAGCAGGCACGCTGCCTCCAAGCAACGGCACCATGATTTAAGGCTACTGCTGGACTTGTTCTGGTTTTTCCTGCTGCCCTTAGCATTTCGTGATGTACCATTTGCTAGTTCATTGCAGCCTACAAGTAGCTTAAAACAGTTTCTACCTGTTCAAAAGAAAGAAAGAAATGTGCTTTTAAACCCAGAAGCTGGGCAAGAATTCGCTGGCAGTTATCCTTGAGATGCTGAAACGGACCCACCTGGGAGGGACAGTGAGCGTTTTAACCCGATTTCCCTCGGGAACGGTCGTCCCAAGAATGACACGTTAGCACGCAGAACAGAAATAGTTAAGTTCTGAAGGCTGTGCAGTAGAAACTGCCCGCTGGAGAGGAAGGCGACGCAGAAGTCCCTGCCAGGTGTGCGTGGACAGGCGGGCCGCCCTCCTGCAGCTGCTCTCTACGTTGGCGGTCAGCTGTCTGGTGCCACCTTAGGAACTGGCCTGATTCTGGAGAGGACATTGAATGATAACTCCCTGCAAGTCAGCTGACTGCCGTGTCGGAGCTGCTGCTCTCGGCATTCTCGCAAGTGCCAGCTCCGGCTCCTGCAGCTTTCTCTTCGCAGTGCGGCAAGGCAGAGGCATGGGACGAGGCACAAAAGCGACCGAGTTTTAAAGTCTCTTTGCCTGCTGGCTCCGTAGCATTTCCCACACGAGGAGTATTTACCTTCGCGTAGCCAGGAGCCAAGCTGCAGCCTGAATGTAGACGTGGCTTCTAACTTGGCAGCGTGAATTTGCAGCTGAGCAGGTCCTGCTCGGAGCCTGGGGACCAAACCGCTTCTGCTGGAGCCATGGCTGGTTTCCCACCACTCGTGTAAATGGTCCGGGGGCTTCTGATGCCAGGCTGCTCTACCGGCAGGAATAAAGGCTAGGACAAAAGGAGATGGTGCTTGCCACGGTGTGCCTGGCTGGGGCCTGGGCAAGCGACTCACCGCGTTGACGTTGTGTGAATGAATCCCCAGCTCCCATGTAAGGCTGGCGCAGATCCCCACTCCTCAGTTAGAACAGCATTTAAAGGAGAAACCAGGCTCAGTGACCTAAATCAATACCAGTCCTCTCTGGATGCGGGACAGCTGTCGACTGGCAGTGACACCACCAGCCATCGAGTGGAGAGTCCCCGCGGCCGCAGTGTGTGTGCAGGAGGAGCCTGTGAGAATGACAGTCTAAATTTCGGCCATCCGTTTTCCTAAATAATCGTACTCGCTCAGTAGACAGTGGTCTGGATTGGTCTGCCTGCCTCGCAGTCCTCAGCAGCTCCGGCTGGATATCAGGGTGCCAGGCAAGCCTGCGTTAGCACCGGCTCCCTTCTGCAGTCTGCTGCACAGCTAGGATGGGTCACACTGACAACAAAGGAGGAAGCAGGCAGCTCCACTCTGTCTTCTCCTGTGATGTTAGCGGGGCTTGACTCGTCTTCGCAGTGATGCCCTCGTGTGTGTGTGTGTGTGTGTGTGTGTGTGAATTCCTGCTGTTGAAGAGCCTAACAGATAACATCATGGATGCATTTTTTTTAATGATTTTGGGGAAAAAGACAGCCCGTGGAGACAGCGATTTGAGAGAGAGAGCAGCACATTTAGGTTATTGCCAATTTGAAATTCTTGGTTTATGAAGCCCAGCCCTAAGGGACAAGCTCGGTAACTGAGAAAGAGATCGTAGATAAAGAAGTAAAAATGACAAGGCTAATGGAGGCTCCGAGAAGAGACTGTCAGAGCATCAGTTCATGGATGGCAATTGCGCCAGGCTGAGATTGAATAATTCATAGATTGAAATTACCCTGCTTTCACCTTTCCATTTAAACCGGCATGATCTGAATCTCTAATAAATTTTCAAGATAAAGTGAAATGCCAGTTTGAATCTGAAGAGCTTTCCAAACCAGATGCTGCCTTCCTGAATCTTTCGGTATCTTTCACAATTATGCTGTGAGAACTGCACTTCATCATGAAGCACCATTACCAGGGAAAAATCACTGTGATTACAATAGCAGCAATAGAATACCACGCAATGGTCTCTAATTTACCTAATTTGCTAAGACTGTGTGGGCTTAGTACTCATTGTGTGTCACCCTGCCCGGCGACCATGGATCTATTGCATGCTGGAACAAAAGTGGGGTAGTGCATGGACGACTGTAACTCCAAAAGCCTAACAAACAACATCTCTAAGCTACCATGTCGCTTTCATTTGGCTTCATTCTTGTGTTTCTGGGTTTTTGTTTGTCTGTTTGTCTTCATTTTTGTTTTTGGGTTTTTTTGTTGTTGTTGTTTGTTTGTTTTACTGATGCTTCTGTCACAAATGCCTGTTTGGGGAAGTGGTGAGCCTGTTATGGATTGCAGGTATATTCTTTGCTACAAGAGAGAATTGGCTTGTTAATTTCCACACCCTCTTTAACGTATACAAGTGTGTTTACCGAAAGGGAGGAAGGATTCTATTCTGGGAGAGTAGTCTAAAAATGCAGCCCAGTGTATGTGTTTGTTTCTGCTTTGAATCCCCTGTCAGCTTTCAGGTTGGAAATCATTTCAGGGAGCTGTAACTCTGGCGTGCTTTGTTAAAAACCTCTCAGACTGAAAAGCTCAGGAGACAACAGCAGTGGCAACTCTGTGCAGATGTTACTGAAGCACACGTGCTGGTTTCGGTGCGACTTTGGGTGTGCTTGTGTCTGCTCTGTCTTGAGTCCCAGGTCTGTCCTCCCGGGAACTTGTTCTCTGACCTGACCAGGTCAGGGTCACTGTGCCATCCTGAGAGGGTGGCCTGGCTCATAAATCCTCCCTGGAGAACAGACTGTAGCCATCTAGTAGGCACAATGACTTCTGGACCTGTACCGTCAACAGCATGGCGCTGGCATGGGTTCCTGCTAGCCAAATGGTGTCTCTACATTTAATTCTTTAATGTAGGGTTTCAAAGGTCAGACAACCATTTGGGAAGAAGGTATTTCTGAAACATACCTGTCCATTATTCTGGGATTTTTGCTTGAGACTCTTAGCTCTGATGTGTTGCTTACTGCATCGTCGTAGCTTTACCCTTTCCTGTATCCTACACCCTACGAGTGCCTTCACGGAAGAAGGTAAGTTGTGTTTCTGATCATTTCTAGAATTGGGTGTGTTTTTGTTTGGTTTTTGTGAATACACACTTTTTATATTATCTTTTCTTTCCATGATTTGTTATTCTTCCTACTCTCAGAACCACTCACAACTCCCCCCCCCCCACCGTGGGTTTCAAAAAGTGACTTAATATAGTTTTTGTTCCCTTTCATTACATTAAAGGTTTCAGTGCATTTCAAAGGGGAACAGTTTAACTCAGTGAACAGTTTATGTAAAAATATTAAACAATCACCAGATATCAATCATGTTACCATATTGCTTTCTTTAGATAGCTCACATTTCTAATACTAGATTTGTTATTGTTACCTCTGGGAATGACAAAGGGCTTCTCAATAGCCCCTCCCCCCTCCCCCCCCCCCCCCCCACTGCATGCATGTCCAAATGTTTTCTTTTTTGCTAAACCATAGTCTGGATATTCTGCGTAGTCTGGCATTTTCAAGTTCTTCAGTAGTCCAAGTTTGAATAAGGTAATCATTGATGAAAATTGGTATTTTCAGTCATACAGGCATCCTAAAATCATCTAGGATCAGAAATCAGATAGATTCAGACACTAATTGCATTCACTTGATAAAAACAGCAAATGTAGAGTTATCATTTTATGATTCTATTATTTGTATTCATAGCATTGAAAAATGAGGGGGTTTGGTTTTGTTCCTTTAGGATGCTAGTGCCAGAATATTAGTGTTTTATATAAAATACAAGTAAGAACTTACGGTCATCTGTTAGTGCTTGATGAGGATGGAATCTACTAGTTTTGACACACACCCAAAAAATTATAGTGCTTTGTACAGAACCACTAACTTAAAAGTGTTAAACTCCTGTATTTATTTGAAATCACATGTGCTTTTCCAATTTTAAGTAATTGAATGCGTATTTTTAAAATTAGTTCATCAGATATTTTTCAATATGTTATTGACAACCTTTCCACTATTTGTAGACATGTCTGTCTTACCTTGCTCTAAGAGAAGTAAAGATGATAACTGAAAAAGACAACAAGGATAATTTTACAATTGCAGATACTTTGACCATAAAGAATTAACAGTGAAAGTATACTAGTTGGGGTTAATTTAAGTAAAATCTCTGGCAGTTGTGGCTTAAAGCTATTTTGTAGGTTTTTGTTGAGGGGGACATGAGAAAGACAATAAAAAGATTACTCCTGTCTCCCAGTTACTTTAGGGCATCAGCTGCAGTTGTAAGGTGTGGTTTAAGATTTAGACACCTGCAAACACGCTCATGCAATCCACAAAATCTGCCTCATGCTTTCAGATAGACTGTGTAATTTTATTATTCAATAATTTCAGTTGGTTCTGAACAAAGTGCATTTTAGATTCCATCTCTTACTGAAGTACAAAACATAAAAGAAAACTAAGTGACAATTGTCTACAGACAACATGTTACTCTCCCCAGTGTTTATGAGTTAACAAACACTGTGGTAAGTAGATGCATTTCACACATAATCAAATGGTATAGTCATAGTTGACAAGCATAGCTAGATTTCTCTAATTAACATATTTAGAAGGGCAATGACATAGAATATTTCCCCCTAAGTTTTAAGTGAGTATTAAGGAAACATGCCTTTACCAGTATCACTACTTGTGCTATGCTAGTCTGTCGACGAGAAACTGTCAAGCAAGACAAAGACACAGAAAAAAATTTAAAAAAAGAGCACTCTATTATTTAGGAATTTAAAAAATAGCATGATTTAAAAAGTGATAATCTTGGTTCTGTGTACCTTTAAAATTTTTTTTTAGTTTTTGGTTTTGTGTTTGTATCTTTTAATGAAACTTTTGTCTCTAGCAGAATATTCTTCCAATATTCTATCAAAAACTTCTTATATAGACGAGTAAATATACTAAGAATACCCATATGTCAAGTACTTTGACTCTATAAAAAACATTTTGCTGTACTTTTTGTTATGTATCAATCCCAACTCTCCACCCTTACATTTACCTTTCAATCCATCTTATTTTCTGGATTATTTCAAAATAAGCTGCAGACAGCAGAACACTTCATCACTAAGAACATGCCTGTTGAGGTGTTCAACTAGAATTCAACATTTGTTTACAATGCTTTCCTTTAAGTCAAAGGATATGTGGAAGATGGAATTTTGAAAAATAATGCACTGTTTTTTCTTATGTGGCATGAACTAAATCTTCAACATGATAGGTGGCAGGATGCAAACCCTCCTGATCCTATGTTTATTTATGGTCAAGGGAAACCATTTATGGTAGAGGTAGATGGGCCACTCGCTGCCTGAACCCCCTCCCCAAGGCAGTTTTCCTCCACTAAGCCCTAAGACCATGAGTAGCTCACCACCAGTTTTGGGGTAGATGAGGGGTCAGGGAAGAAATGAATAATTGCCAGTGTCTGTTTTCATTCCTGGATGACCAATCCTTTCTATCTCCTACAGGAACATAAGAGTTAACCCAGTGCCCTCTTAAAAACCACCAACTCTTCTGTTTCTCTCTTCTCTCCTTCCCTTTCCTCCTCCTCTTGTCCCACGTGGCTTTTCCTTTATTGCTTTCTCATAAATGTTTTTTCTCAGAAAAAAAAATCAGATCATACCACTGCATACAACGTCACGGAAGTGGTAATAGGAAGCAAAGATGGGGATGCAAGAACCACAGGAGCTCTTAAATGGATTCGTGTCTCTTGGTCTTAGTTACACATAAAGGAGTTGAGGATTGCTCTCTCAAGATCTCTTCACAGAGTCATCTCTTGGATGAAGTCTTGTGGATACAATTCATTCATTCCTCTCTTCACCAGCCTTTACACCAAGCGTCCCTGAGCTTAGTGTTGGGATAGCTCCTCAGACATATCTTGTGCTCCCCAGATCTGCCAGGGTCCATGGACTGAAGCTGCCAGTCACCGTCTCTGGTCCATAGTACTTCCATTCAGGAGCAGCACAGGGCTGGACGTCTTTGGCTCTTGCCCTCTCCCAAGCTTTCTTCTCCAGGTTTTGGTCCATCCGCATAAGGCCCTCAGTCGCCTTCTAGGTGGCTTCTCCCTCCCTAGGCCATTTTTCTTTATTCAGTGTAGAATGTCTGAGGCTTTTATTGGACATTTAACATTGGGTCTGTTCTTGGCTGGAATTCTACCAATTTGCCTGTCTTTATAAAATAGTGATTGGATTTGACAAACTGGTTACAAGTTTAGGCTCTGTAGTAAGACAATCCTGCAGTGTAATCTGTTTTGCAACTTAACTAGCAGCATTACTCCAGGCAAGTTAATGAATCATTTTACTCTTCTTCAAAGTGTTGCTATATTAGTTGACATTTATGTATTTATATATATATCATATATATATG